CCCTAATAACGTGGTCTATGCAGTGGCGCTTTGGGTAAGCGTTGGGCTGCCATCCACATGGGCAGTGGTTCAAACCCACTAGCCGCTCCTCGGAAGAAAGCCTTGGGCTGTCTGCTCCCGTGCAGGGCTGCTGTGAGTCGGAATTGCCTCGTGGGCAGTGGGCTCTTGCAATGCCTGTGGTCCAGACTTGGTCGTGTGCTCGCATTGCTGCTGTTTTTTTTTGGGGGGGGGGGGGGGCTGAGGTTGTGGGGCTGGGTCCGAGGAGTGCTGCCCCAGAGCTGAGTCACCTGCCCCATGGCTCACCAGGGTGTTTCTTGGTGTGGCTGTCTGGTTTCCAACCGCAGACCTAGCCTAGTGCTTAACCTCGGTGTCACCTGGCCCCCTCGCCAGCCCTGTGCTGACTACTCTGGGATCTTGCATTCAGGCTCAGAGAGGTCAGGGTAACTCCAATTGTGTGGCAGCCCCCAGGTTCCCACTTTGTTTGAGCCGCCTCTGCAGCAACCTCTGGACACATAAGGACACTGGATGGCCCCCCTTCCTTGAGGGTTATCTTCCGAGTACCTGTTTCATCTCCAAGTGTCGGGGGTGGGGGCGTGAGGAAGGGTGGCTCTGTAAGGGCTCTGTGCACCTCTGTCCCCCCCTTTAGGCAGCGTTCTTAGTCCCCTGGCCAGTGGTGTCCAGAGCTGCCTGTTACATGTTTATTCAACAAACGGATGAAGCTGGCGCTCTCTTCAGACCCACCCTGGTGGTCAAAGCCACTGAGAGCATGTCCCACGTGCCAGGCCTTGGGACCAGCTGCCAGGGCGCTGAGAGGGCAATGCCATTCTGGCTTCATGTCCCTTGGGCGGTGCAGGCAGCATGTTCTTGAAGAGACTGTCTCTGGGTTTGTTGGTTCCGGGTTTCTTGGCTGGTCCACTGTGGTGAAGCCAGACCCGTGGGGCCTCTGCTTCCTCTAGGGGTGGCCTGGAGGCCGAGCCGGGGCAGTGGGTCGCCGGCAGAAGCCCCTGACAGGAGAGTGGAGGAGGACTCTTTCCTCCAGTGGCTGCTGCTCCTCATCCCGGCGACGGCCTTTGGACTGGGCACCTGGCAGGTAAAGGCCCGCGCCTGGCCGGCCGGCTGCCCCCAAGCCTGTGGTCCTCCACCACGTGTTCACCACCTTTGTCCGTAGGTCCAGCGCCGGCAGTGGAAGCTGCAGCTGATCGCTGAGTTAGAGTCCCGAGTTCGGGCGGAGCCCGTGCCCCTGCCGGCAGAGTGAGTGCATGGCTGACGGGGGCAGGTCAGCGCTGGTCCCTTTGGGTGG